CTGACCCAGGTCCAAGCAATCTTTCAAGGGACTGTTTAGATATTAGATATTTAGATATCTGATTTTTGAACTAGAGATAATTTTTATATTGTCAAGGTTAAATCATGGTCAAAGCTCTTGACATTAGAGAATGTGACATTCATAGCTAATCTCTATCCTTTAAAACAGTACTGGCCACTTATTACCATTCTTTACAAAGCTGAAACCATCACCACCAATCCCCATCACTCATCTATTTTACAAGACACAAATTTATAATTACTTATGAAGTATATACCTTGACTCATCCAATCTTCAGATAAACTCTGCAAATCAAGGATTATTCAACTTTACACTAAGAAAATGAAGGAGATGAACCAAATAGTAAAGGGCTGAGTGAGGCACTGAACACGGATTTTTCTGAATCCAAAGTCCATACTATTTTAGGAAGTCGTCTTTAATGCAAAAATCTCGAAAGAACAATATGTGAAAAGAGTAACAGAATGTTTTCAAAACTGTATTTTACTTTATTTCTGTAGTTGGCATCATATTTACCATTTAACTGTTCTTATTTATAAAATAGTTTTTAAAAACCTCCTGTATATATTATCCAATAAAATACCCACGTCCACGTACTTCTCTCCTTGTTGTTATATTTGTCAGACACCCATCACTTATGGTTGTGTGTCTGATTGGAAGATCTTTCATTTCAAGAAAATGTGAAATGTTTCCATGGAGATCAGCTTGAGATAGCCCAGTGACGAACTTCTTAGCTATAATTTCACTTTGGTTTCTATGGTTTCCAGATAGGAGAAGAAAATGAAGTTGCAGATTTTTTTTTTGTAATGTAAAAGGTTATTGGAAAATAAAAGACACTGCGTGAATTAATGTTACTCCCCCCGGGACAGCAACGGTTGTTACTGAGAAGTGTGAAAGATTTTATGATGCGTAACACACATGTATGCACTTTTCTAAATAAATAAGGAACTATCATGATACTTGAACAATTTCCAAAATTAGCAGACACTTCACTTAAAAAGGGTATATTTTTCATTGCTAAAATGTGTTTTTGCAATGGTTACTGAGATCTGCCTTGCAATTTCACTTAACCTTTATTACATTATATCCTTAAAGATGTCACACAGGGCATCTGTTCCATTAGTAAAAGACTTGAGGAGGAAACTCCTTAACAGAGATATATCCACTGTTCATACCTGAGACCAATGTTTATACAGTCTTTTTGATAGGTTCTACTGTTACTATTGATAAGGTTGTATCATGAATCAAGAATAGTCATGTACTGGACCTGACTATTAAAATCCCATTAAAGTGTCTGTGTGTATATCAGAGTGATCAAACACACACCATCATGTGGCCATGTCTTCTGGCCTGATTCTTTACTCACCAGCTCTCCCAGTAGGTGCCATATAGTCACACCATTTATCTATCCATTTACCATCCTCAGTTGGGATAAGGTCAGAATTGTCTTTTCTTAGAAAGTACATGAAATTCCTAAAGGCACAGTAGACCATAAACCAAGACATGTGGATTCTATTTCCATTACATCTCAATTTTTAAGTGATTTCCATGTCACTTAAGCAGTTTATGGCTAGGAAGGGTACACATGTATTCAACAAGGTAAATGACAGGTTAATAGACTTTGTAGAATTATTGTAAATTTCAAATGAGAAAAACATTTCATTCTTTAACAGCTGGAGAACACATTGATATAGGAAATTGTAATTACTTACTCCCACTAATTATTCAAACTTAACCACCCAGACTAGTGGAGAAATGCAGCCCTAGCAGCCCAGATTGTCCAAATAAAGAGCCTACGTCAAAATGAAGTTCTCTGTCTCTGCTGACAGCAAGCAAAAATGCATGCTCCATAACTGTCAATAACATCGTCTCATAATAATCATCTAATTTTCTACAAATAGTGTCAAACCATATAACATTTATTTTATGTATATAATACACACACACATATACGTGTAGGGCTCATAATTTGATAAGTTTATTGAAAAGTTAGCTTTCAGACACATGCGACTACAAAATGACTTTCATCTGATATTTTGCATATGGTCTTAATGTAATTTCCAGTGACCATGTTAGAAAGCAGTGGCCCCAAATTGTTTAAGTATCATGATGATTATATATTCACACACAGACACATTGGGTGCAAAAATGTATATATGTTTTAAGAAAGGAAAAAGTTCATTAAAACAGTTAATACTCATGATATATCATGTGTATATTAGATTTTGTATTTCTTGGAATCGCAGAAATCAAACGTGACTTGAGTATAAGCTACTTTTCCTTTCTTAAAATGTGTATACATTTTTTGGCACCCTCTGTATACACTCCTTAAAATAATTTTTCTCTTAAAATATATATGTACATATGTGTATCTACAACTACCTATATGCATGTGCATATATCTATGTATGTTTATATACAAATCGCACATTATATATAATGTGTATACAATGAATAATATACCCACATTCCACAAATTATATACACATTTTCTCTCCACACACACACATACATATATAAACAGAAAAAGGTAGATTTTAATCCTAATCTCAGATCAGAAAATATTCAGGAAAAGGGTGAGGAATAAAGTGACTGCTGTTTTAAAATACTCTATTTATGCTACATGTATTCTCTATCCCCACCTCCATGAGTTCACTGACTCCCATAATTTTCACAACAATCTATGATGGCTTCCTATCTAGTTTCCTCGCATTGAATCCTTCTCCAGAATATCCCACCTACAAAACCAAAGAAACCTGGGGAACGGTGTAGCTTCCAAGTAAAAGCAAAGGTTCTAAAGCCAGAGAGATCTGGGCTTGAGTCTTAGCTTCATTGTTTACAAGTTGTGTGTCCAGGAAAATCTCGTGTCACTCTGAACACAGGGTAAGCAGATATGGCTTCTGATTACTAGCCATTTAGAGAAGAAATCCAGGTCTGGTTCAGTATATGCTGGCCATACCTGAAAGCGTTCAGCCTCAGCAATACAGTTTAATTCCAGGGTGGCCCTGAAGGAAAAGAGAAATTTCCTAATGGGCAGTACTTTTAATAGTGCACGTAGTTGTTCATTTTGCATGGTAAGAGACAAATAAGTGACAAATACACAGTGCTGTTCCCCTAGAGCCAGGATTTAGAGGTCTTGGGATCAAGTGGTGAATATGAGAGTGACTCCTCTACACTGATTCATAGCCAATGGCTTGATAAGATGCTCAGGAAATTGAAGGGAGAGCTGTTGAAAAACTGGTGCCAGGCAGTTGAGGCTGGATTGTGTGGATAGACTTCTCCATGTCAGCGAGAGTAGAAGATATTCATGCCCCATAGAAATGCTCACCAAAAGGATCCTCGGCAGGGCGGGGCCTGTGGCTCAAAGGAGTAGGGCGCCGGGCCCAAATACCGGAGGTGGCAGGTTCAAACCTGGCCCCAGCCAAGAACTGCCAAAAAAAGGATATTCGGCAGAGAAGTATCATAGCAATCAGGTGGATAAGATGACCCAGTCACTTTCCCAGATATCTTGTGCTTTTACAGTGACTCAGAGACAAAGTGGCCATGGCAGCATAAATGCAGTTACCCGTTGGCTCCACAAGGCAGCCTTCCACTTACCAAGGCAGCCTGGCTATCCTGCTGCTCAGTGCCCAACCCATAAAAGGGCAGACACTGCACCTCCATTGGGCAACATTCCCTGGGGGAAGGGAGTGTATGGGCCGGCCATCAGTGCCAGGTTGGTTCATGGACAAGTTCCACCATGAGAAAAGCAGCACTTTTTCCTCACATGAATATACATTTCCTAAGCATGTGGACTTACCTTCTCTCCCTGTAACTCTTCTGTGAATGCTATCACCCGGGGACTTGTACAATGCCTCTCTCCGTATCGTGGCATATCACACGTGGAATACCACTGTTGGCACTTCATCTCAAAAAAATGAGTTGGTTGAGATTTTAACCAATTCATTTTCTAGAGATGAAGTGCCAACAGTGGGTTCACATTTAGGGAGTCACTGGTCTCACTGTTTCTCGTCACTGATAGATGGGTATCATAGTCTTTTGACATGGTCGTTACAGCACCCTGAAGAGCACCCTGTTGGCTGAGGTAATGTCTCCTGGGATGCTTGGACAGGCTCTAAATAAGTGACAAATACACAGTGCTGTTGCCCTAGAGCCAGGATTTAGAGGTCTCGGGATCAAGTGGTGAATATGAGAGTGACTCCTCTCACTAATACCCCTAAGGATCCACTGGGAATCATGGCAATGACACCATTACACTGGAAGTCCAGAGTGTCACCCTGAGAGGCCTTTGTGTCCTCTTTTGGGAGACAGTAGGTTTTTAACTTTCTAAGGGAAACTTGCATTATGTGAGGCGGAAGTCTGTTGTGTTACTGTCATTGGTATGTGCATATGGTTAGAGATGCACATAGATATCAACGTTGATAACAAGTTGACACAGGGTGAACAACTATAGGTTTCTAGGTGTCAACTTTGTTAAGCTTGAACTACTTATTCCCTTCCCTTTATATTTTCAGGTGAGGGCTGGCCACAGAGGGAAGTATATTAAATAGGAAAAGGAAACATGAAACGCCAACCATTTCACATTTAGAAGGTTGGTACAGAGCACCAGACACCGTGGCAGCTTGAATAACTTGTTGCTGATCTTCTGACTTGTGTCACTGAAAGAACAGCACCGAGCCTACTTTTCAAATTTCCCCCAGTTCTCCTCAGCTTTTCTGAGGCCTAAGCCAGGTGAACGTGTAGCTTCACAGTGAAGGGCACCAACCTCTCCCACCTCATCACATCTGTTATTCATAATCCTCTGTCATCTCTACCCACTGCTACTGTGTTGCTACCAGGCAATATAATGACCATCTGCAATGACTGTTTAAAGACTTCAAATGTATTTTATTTCTTCAGTTGTGCTATAGATTAATGAGTAGTAGACTGCTTACATGCCAGGTTTGTTTCAAAACAATTGTGCATTATAGCAACTGGGAAGGTTACTGAACTTTCCACTCTTTGGGGGTAACTCTGCCAACAGGGGAGAGGTTCCACATTATTCCAATCTGTGTTACTGTATACACCCATGCAACAACACAAAAAGTGGTTCCTCCAGCAAGCACAATATTGCCATATTTATCATGGAAATCTGGTGAGTGTTTTACATGCTTCTGTCTTGACATACTTTGCTGAATTCTTCGACTCTTGAGAGTCCTTAGTGCATTTCTGGCCAAGGAAAACATCATGAAGGTATAATAGGATTGCAGTTGATTGCAGCTCTTGGTCTATTTTATTGCAAAGGGACCTAGAAAAACAAACAAACAATAAAAGGCAGTGATATTTGATCTTCATCCCAGTTCCTCCCTGATTGAATGTTTTGCCTGCACCATCCCTTGGTGTAGTGGGAAGGCAGAGGAGTTTTGCTATCATGGTGCCTGGATTTGAACTGCAGCTCTCTCACCAATGAGTATGCCATGGCAAGTGGGCAGAGTAGGCCAGGCCTCTTCTCCCTCCTGTTTAATCCCCTTCTCCTCCCTTTTCCTTTTCTGCCCATAATACCAGCCTTCCCTCGTACAGGTAAAATTCTACTTGCCCTGGAAACCCCACCCTAAAAGTCTCTGCTTCTGCGCAGTCTTTTCCAAACCTCTTTAGACTGAATGAGTCTTCTCTGAGTTAACCACGCTTTTTATAACTCTTACTTCATACCACTGAACACTGAAGCATTATCTCTTCTTTTTACAACAGACTTTATTTTTTAGAGCAGTTCTCGTTCACAGCAAAAGCGAGTAGAAAGCATTGAGTTCGCATATCCCCTGACTCCACCCACCCCCAGCATCCCCTGCTGTCAACATCAACCAGAGGGAAGCGTTTGTTCCTGCACTGACAGAGTACCTAAAGCCCATACTTTACACTGTTTACTCTCCATGTAGATTCTATAGGTCTGACTGCTGTATAATGGCCTGCATCCACCGTTATCATATCATACAGAATGGTCTCTCTGCCCTCACAGCCCTCTGTGCTCTGTCTGTTCCTCCCTCCCTGCCTGCTCACCACTGGCAACCCCTGATCTTTTTACTGTCTCCATCTCCATAGTTTTACCTTTTCTAGAATATCATGTAGTTGGAATCATTTCAGATTGGCTTTTATTTATTTCATAACATGCATTTCAGGTTTATCCATTTCTTTTCATGACTTGACAGCTCATTTCTTTTTACCGATGAATAAGATTACATCATATAGCTCTACCACAATTGATGTATTTATTTAATTAATCTGGGCTGTGTCCACATTCTGACAATAATGAACAAAGCTGCTATTAACATCTGCGTGCAGGTTTTTGTCTTACCATAAGTTTTCAGCTAATTCAGGTAAACTATACAAGAACATGATTGCTGGATCATGTGATAACAATACCTTTAGTTTTGTCGGTAACTGTCCACAGTGTCTGGTATGATTTTGAATCCCCCCCACCCAGGAATGAGTGTTTGTTTCTGTTCCTCCTCATCCTTGCCAATATTTGGTGTTGCCAGTGTTTGGATTTTGGCCATTCTAGTAAGTGTACAGGCTGTTTAATGACAGAGAATGTCAGGCATATTTTCATAGGCTTATTTGCCATCTATATATCGTTTTGGGGATGTATCTTTTCTAGACCTATTACCCAATTTTTAAACAGATTGCTCATTTTATTATTGTTGAATTTTAAGAGCTTTTTGTATATTTTGGATAATGCATATATTCTTCTAGCCTGTGGCTTGCCTTGTCATTAACATAAAGAATTATCTTTTCTGCCAACATACTGAAAGTTCTCCAAGAGCAAGGGATGTAACTTCACATACAAAATAGCTGACACAAAAGCATAGAAAGAACTTCCTAAACCAATCTCAAGCATCAATGAATATTGATATTCTCAAAAGAAGCTAAAAGAAATACAAAGAACAAGTCAAAAATAATGCAATCAGATGTGCATGTCATAGTAGCCCAAATAATTTCATTTCTTAACCAGACTGTGATAAGAAATCTGGAAGCAGAAACACCCTGAAGAGTTCCTTCAGTTTCTCTTCCTTGGTGCAAGTTGTCAAACAATGTTCAGTTTTCAGCAATGACATATATTAACTCTGGCCCAAATGTAGGCAACATGTACATAAGAGTGCTTGAGGTCACTACGTGGAAGCTTCTAACTCCTGACTGACATTTGCTAGCTCAGAAGACTTGATCCCCAGCTTAGAAGACCAGACTAAGGCTCTCTGTTACTGACTACCATATGGTAAGTGATCTCTTCATGAATGTGATAAGCAGGGCAAACAAAAGCGAAGAGAATTTCTTCTGAAGTTCTAAGATATTTCCCATTAGTCATAAATCTCTTTACCAGAAGACACCGAAGTTTTAATTAGAATTGAATTTGAACACTAGGCTGAAGGTGGAGTGGGCGAGGGTCTGCCAGGTGCAGCCTTAATCCCATACAAACGCCCCCTGTGCATACACTGCTGTCAGTGCTCGGGATGGCACAGAACCAAAGACGAATCTGTGGGAGCAGGGTCTCCAGTGGGCAGAGCCTCTTGCCAGCTGCTCTGTGATGAATGGATTTCATATTCTCACACTCTGGATGTTAACTCAGGTACTTTGTCTCAGTGACACTCACCGCATCCCTTAGTAGCTTAGTTCATCCTTCAGTAATTCCCACAACTGCAAAGCCTTTCTTCTCCGTCTAGCCCAAATTTTCTTGTACCCGTAAGTGTCTGTATTATTAAGAATTTTCCCTTGTAACTCCTGCAGTTTGCAGGTGGCATTTCTACCTACCATGAGCAAACTGCAGTCTTTGTGTTCCTTTCCCCCCATTATTGGCACCAACTACATCTGTCTTGTCTCAACTGCCTTCAGATCTACCTTTTATCTATCTTTGTTTATAAAATGTATGTGAAAGATAAGAAAGAACCCACTGTTTAGAGAAAATTTTCATATTGCTTAACTCCACAGGACATGACCTCTACAGTAAATTTTGTTTCATTGGTAAATCTTAAGCCTCTTCCCAAAGAATTAAAGCTACAGGTCTAGTATCCATATGAGAGCATAAAAAAGGAAACTCAATAATGTATGTAGGCAAAGGAAACGTTTCTCAAAGTCGATGCTGCTGAAAAGAGACTATAAAGAGATGGAAGAAGACAGATTTCCCTAGGTAATAAGAACAAGGTAAAGGCCATCTCATGCCTGTGGCAATGAAATAAAAGAAATACGTTCTGAATGAATATAAATAGTTAAAGGAGAAAAGTACCCTATGAGGATGAAAAGGAGAGATTGTTTATGTTGTCTATTTTATATAGCAGTCTTCCAGCTTAGTCAGAAAAACAACTCATACTGGCCCTCAATCTAACCGCAGTAAGGAGTGTACGCATTTGAAGCTTTACTGGGAACAATAGTAATTTCAAACCACCAAAGGCCATTAAAAGAAGTAAAGCAATAACATAGAAAGGAAACTAACAATTACAGAGTATGTTCTTATGGGCCAAACAGTGTGCCAGGATTTTGCACATCTACAAAAATGGTGTGGAAGGGTGATGGTTTAACTGCATTTTACACACAAGAACAAACAACAGGACAGGATATGAATGTAAGTCCTCTTACTTCAAATCCAATGTATTTTTTAACTATACTGTGTTTTTCCAAAGTATATTCAGCATCAAGTAATACAAAACAATCTAACCATAAAAACTCAAAAAAAAAAAAAATGGTGACCAGAAATAGCCCTTCAATTAAAAATGGTTCCCTACAGCTCTATTTCTTTACCTAGGAACTACTGCGTGACAGGGCCTGGACCTAGGTGCTGGCGGTTTATTCTCTACTCTTAAAAGCTTATGGCTTAGAGAAGAAATAAATGGTCACTGTTATAAAGAAGGGGATAGGCTGAAGCTGTGCATAGGTGCCTCTAGTCTACAGAATAGGGAAACATTTCAACCTGAGCTTCTAGAAGTGATTTTAGAAAAAAAAAATGATACCTAAGCTATCTCCTGAAGGACGATTTAGAAATATAAAGAATCAAAGGCCAGGCACAGTGGCCCATGCCTGTAATTCTAGCACTCTGGGAGGCGGAGGCAGGTGGATTGCTTGAGCTCAGGAGTTGAGACCAGCCTGAGCAAGAGTGAGACACAGTCACTAAAAATAGCCAGGTATTGTGGAGAGCACCTGTAGTCCCACCTACTTGGGAGGCTGAGGCAGGGGAATCGCTTGTGCGTAGGAGTTTCAGGTTGCTATGAGCTATGACGCCATGGCACTCTACCTAGGGCAAGAAAATGAGACTCCATCTCAAAAAAAAAAAAAACTAATAGAAAAAGTAATACATTGACAAAGAAGCAAAAGCCACACATGGAGACCTGCGACAGTGTAGAGAAAGAGCGACCTGGTGAGCTCAGTAACACTAGGTAATAAGTGTTGAGGTGCCCAGTGGCTGATCCTGGAGAGCTGAGAAAAGAGCAGCGTACTGAGGAATTTACACGCCTTGCTATGACATTTATACTCAGTTCTCCAGGTCATTGTTTCCTCTTACTGCAAAAACAGTTCTTGAACTGACGGTCTGATATAAGTTAACAGTGAGAATTTTTAACTCTGTGTTTTTTCTTTCACTATATTATAAAAATGAGAATACATAATAGAATATTATAAAAATATAAGAAAATAACGTGAGACTTAGGTAGTATAGCTTGTCAATCCATTTCTCTTGTTTCTGTTTATCTTAGTTCTGCATTTTGGTTATACTGCAGTAGACCAGTCATTTGACCTGGGTTAATGCAGAAAGAATGAATGCAGCTTTCATATTTAAATAAAGTGTTCATGCCAGACAAAATAAAGAATAAGAAAAATTAAGCCATACTACAACTTACAGCATAGATATGTGAAAACAAAAGGACTATGGTTGATAAAAGCAGTGCTACAATTTTGGGACAATATTAACTCTCATATTGGATCAATATGACAAATTTGAAATTTATTGTATAATTAGTTTCATTTTTTATTTGATGGCGGTGGCTGTGGCTGAAAAGGCAATGGCCCCATATGCCAGAGGTGGCGGGTTCAAACCCAGCCCCGGCCAAAAAAAAAAAAATTTCACATCATTTTTTATCTGAAAATATGTCTTGGTCTTGTAGTTATATTAAGCTTTCAACTTAAACAGGATTAATTTGGTTTTACGTTTGAACACACGTAAGTGATTTTACAATATAATAATATGTACAAGTATATGAAATAATCTTTTCCT